GATCGGGAGCTGTACGGGCTATTGTGAATAGCCCGTACAGCACCCCTTCGGTTCTACTGAACCGAAGGGGTCCTGGGGCCAAAGCTAGCCGAAGGATCGGCCGAAGCTACGGCCAGATCCCTCGGCAGCTTCGTGAATAGACCCCTTAGTCCTGCTTTGGACAAGCAGAGCTAAATGTAATGTATGGGAAACTGTTGTACAAGTGATAAAAAAGTGAAAAGAAAATTAAAACCAACCCTGCCGCCCCACCATCTGGGGGAATTCTCTCTCTCTCTCTCTCTCTCTCTCTCTCTCTCTCTCTCCCGAGCTGGATTATTTAGACCCAAAGTCTACCGGAAAACCTGGTCTGGGTTCCGCAAATGCTGTACATAGGATAGAAAGCGAGGGGAAATATATCGCCCCTCGATGACCTCCACTTTCCTTATATCCCTATATATATATATTTTAGGGATACACCAATACGGATACTAGTATTGGTGCCGAAACCGAGTATTTGGGTGAGTACTTGTACTCGCTCAAATGCTCCCGATACCTATTCCGATACAGGAACTTCCAAGATCAGGAAGCCGATTGGCCGGGAAGCTGGCTCCATGCTCCCTTGGACCAGAGTCTGGTTTGGTTGGTCTGCCTTTGGATGTCCCAAAAGAGAAAGACTTCCTCTGTCTTTAAATGAATTAGAAAAAACTATAGAATTTTATATTCACCATTAAATCCTTCTGTTGGATTCCACAGGTCCCACCCCTCCGGGTTTATAATCATGCTCTCAGTATTGCTTTGCACCAAATCTGAAGCATACTAGTAGTAGGAAGGGTTGTTCCCTATGGGTTTTTTTTTTTTGTCAGTGTCCAATCCTCCTGTGGGTGGCAGTATAACCAGAAAGTGATATCCTTCAATACATTCCAAGAAAAGGATTTGGCGGTGAGTACAAAAATTATATTTTCTGGCACACATGCAAAAAGAACATAGGAGAAGCCAGGAACATTTTTCAGCAGCAGTTTCACAGCTTCAAATGAGATGCACAACAATTTGAACGTGCATGGATGGGTGAAAATTATATTTTTGGGGTGTGCACTTCTCAATGCAACCAGCATATGTACCTGAATTTGACTGTGTATGGGGTTCTTGTTATTCTCTCTGCAGGCTCTTCTGCATGCACTTTGTGAAAGCTACCAGGCTGTAAGAAGGATAGAGCCAAGGCCCGAGCATATCAACAAACTGCTGCTGCTTCACAGTCCAATTAAAGGCTGGGGGCAGAGCAGTGACCAAGCTCTTTGCTGAACAACAGAAGAGAAAGGTCAGGTCACCAGCCTGGCATTGCTGTTTGGTAGAACTGTGTAAATTTGCGGACTGGTTGGACAAACCGTACAAATATCTATGTTCCAGCAGTATTGTTAGCTGTATGCCAGAAAATCAGCTTGAAGCTTCACATGCTGAATCGTTATTTAAATAACCTTCTGCCTCAGTATTACATGTGTCATTAGATCACAGGGAACCAGAGTAGTAAAGGAATGAGGTAATGCCACAGTTACATGGATCTGTCAAGTTCGCTCAACAAAACGTTGGAACCTGCTCAATCGGCTCCCTAATGACAGTCTACTCAGCATGATTTGGGTCAGTTACACTGGCAGGTGATGTAATGAACGAGCAGGATGCCTCTGAACACATTTTAACACATGTTTGGGTTATGATAGAAGGTCTGACTGGATGCAGATGATGGCACAGTGTTTTCTTAAAGGAAAGGTACACTTCAAATTAGGTGCAGGGAGACCACTGGTTCCACACAGAGAGCAAGGGTCCCACTCTGTAGTATGCTAGCAGGGGATTGGCTTTTCTACTGAGAGGTACTCAGCCCTACATCTCAGGGATGTTGTGCATGCTGTTATTCACTTGTGTTCTCTCTCTGTCTGAGCAGAAATGCCAACCCAGTGTCAGGCTGTGAGGCCCAACCATGGAGGTTGTCTTGTCTCCTGCCTGACTCTACGTTCACAATTAGGCGTTGTTCACAGGTGCAGCCAAGGAGCAGTAGAACTGCCCCCTGAGCACCCACCTGAAGCTTCATTTAGCGCCTGCTCATGCTTGCACACATGCCACAGCCGTGAAGCTTTACACGGTGGCAAATTTTAAACAGCATGTCACATTTGGCCGGAGGTTCCGCTTGCCAAATGCAACCCTTGCAATCAATGGGACCTCAGCCAACCGACTGGGAATGCGGCATTCATGGTATTGCAGAAGAAAATCCCCACTGAGATTTAAAAAGAAACAAACCTCCTGAACACGGGGCAGCTGCTGCTATACCGCGCGCATTGTTTTTCAAGAAGGTGGTGGAGCCGGCTGCCTGCGTGAACAAGGCCTAAATCCCATAATTTAGGGATTGAAGATTGTTCATGTAGTCAATAGAATAAATACACAAAACAATATACAAATAAATTTTTTCAGATAACATATTCCATCATGTCTGATAATTGCACTATAAGTCTATAATTTATAGGTACTGGGCCCAGTAGTTTATTATGTGCAATGCATAGAACATATAGGGCAAATGTCCCAATATCCCAGCATGCCTCTGGTTAGAATTCTAAATGTAACAGTGAAAATAAATATCATAAATGATAAATGAAAAGATAAAACGCGCATATAAACCGAGTGTAAATGTTTGCTCTTGTAGAATGTTACTATACAAATAAAAGGTTGCACAATACAAACAATACGGTTACAATTTACAGCAGTTGTAGTTGTGAAGAAAAGGCTTGGACTGGCTTTCTGGCATTTGTATTTGGGAGTATTTGTAGGCTGGTGTGACTTCAGAGCGCCCCACGGTCCTGTGTTAAAGAGGAACTCTAGCCAACAAAACTAAAATGTATCATTTTAAAGTATTTCAAAAAGTATTAGAGTATTACTTCAATTGTATATAAATTCAAAAACGTTGGCGGTGAAGGATTAAACCCTCTGCTAGGTTGTTACTGAGGTGTCCACAGCCTACCTGGCAGAAAAATGCAGGGGGCAGGTACTAGACCAGTCACCCACCACAAAGGAGGGAGCAGCTGTGACAGGTCTGTATTACAGGAAACTCCAGCACAGCGGCAAAGTACAAAAACTGATTCATGCTGGATAAGTACAGTGGTGTAGTGGTGTAGTGGTTAGAATTCTGCCTTGCACCACTGGGGGGGGGTCCCCGATATACAGTATATCCCGGTCAGGACACTATCTGCATGGAGATTGCATGTTCTCCTGTGCTTGCGTGGGGGTACACACTTCAAAGATATGATGGTAGGTTAATTGGCTGCGGTCTAAATCGGCCCTTGTATGTATGTGTGTGCAGTAGGAACCATAGATTGTAAGCTCCTTGAGGGCAGGGACTGATGTGAATGTGCTGTGTAAATTGTCAGTGCTATATACAGTAAATACCTGTAATAATGATAACTACACAGGTCTAAGAAAACATAAATGACCCCAACATTTGAGTACGAATAGAACTGACTCTTGTATGTAGACTATATTTTAGCTTTTACTTCACATTACCCTCTTTACATAAAAGAAAATCAGACTAGGAGTGGGAATGCTAGCTATGCTTTACTGCACTGCAGTGAGCTGTTAGTCTAACATGTTTCATGCAATAGGAGCTGAAGGGTATAGGAGTTTAAGCAGATTTACAGGAGGGAAGAAATATGAACTTCACCAGCATCGTGATCTTTATTAACAGTTCGATTAACATGGTCAGCTGGGGTGGTGGCACACGAGGCTGCATAGCCACATGATGAGAAAGAAGTCACACTCCTAGCAGCATGTAGGGCTTTATGATGGACAAAAATGTCTGAAAAAAAACTAAAAAGGTTTTATCATGTAAAAAAGTTCACATAGGTGGATTTAACCATTTGTATGCATAAAACAGCAGTCAACATTCTGCACTAGGGCTGCCATAGGGCCCCGTCACAGAATTCAGCTGCTGTGGTAATTCATAAATATTACTGCTGTACTACCTTGGCAGACCAGGTCACACACAAACATGGGTCAACGTGTCTCATAAGCCATGCCCGGATCCTACGTCTGTCTGTACACTGGGGTCTTAGGAAGAAAGTTGAGATTGATCACACTCACCCGCACTTTGATGTCTGGGTTCTTGACATGGATGTCCCTCATTGCAAGGATCGTATCATTATTGGAAAGATCCTGAAGAAGAGCCACCAGTTTGATCAGGTTGTCCTCTGTCATACTGCTGCTATATTTCTCATAGAGGATCTGCATGGGTATGGCCTGCTCTGTAAATATAAAATTGACACCTAAAGAGCTGGTCTGTGGCAGAAGTAAAAACAATAAAATAGTCCACAATCAACTCGTGTTTCTCTCAGCCGGCCTTTCTCCACCAGGGTTATGGTTCTTGCATAGGTTGCTATGAGTTCTATGAGCTGTGAGCAATTGTTTTTCTTGATCTCCCACCTACACTTACCATCAATGTAATTTTCAATTGGCACCCAACATTAACAGGTCTACAATGACCAGCGATGTAAGAGGGCTCTTCTCTACTGGCCTTCAGTGTAGTGTTTATTAACCTCTTTTTAGTCATGGCACCCTTTAAAAGTATGAAGAATCTTGGAGGCATACCCAGATTTTAAGGGGGACCCCATGCAAAAACAAACAAAAAGTGGGTTTCGCCCTTTACATCAAAGTGCCCCCTTCAAATTAGGATCCCCACTTCACATCAGTCACCCTTTGCATCAGTAGCTCCCCTTCACATCACAGCCCCCCCTTTCACATCAGAGTTCCCCATTTACATAATGAGCCCCGTTCACCTCAGCCTTCATTTCCCCTACCACACCCCTGAGGAAGCCAGAAGGCACAGTAGGGTAACAGAACCCTGGTTGAGAAAGGCTGCTTTAATGTAAGGGGACACTACATTTCTCAGTCTAAATGTATTTAGTGGCAAATATATATATATATA